GAGTTAGATGGTCACGCCTTTTGATTACCTTCAGAGACTTGAAAGACGCCCATGCCCTCCCTCACGAATACATCGTCATCGTACCGCTTCGGACGTCATTTAGGGACAGGCACTCTTTAATCTTATCTGAGTCCCATATTGGCCCAACTACATGTCACGTTTCCTGTCCTTAACAATTAGCGCTTCAGGTCCTCTGTTCCCCTCCACTTCCTAAACATCGTCGTCGCTCGTTATCAGGGGCAGCTCAACGTTTAGACTACCTCCGTTTTCAATATGTGCACTGCGCAGTGCACAGTGAATAGGTCACCATGCATATACATTATGCAAAAGGTGGATACATCGTCTGTCGCTAAGCTATGCCCGATCTGACCTCCCAACACGATGGAAACCGCGCATGAATCCAAGCAAATGCGATTTACCGTGCTTGACGACTGGAAATTTATTGGCCAATGGCTATGGCATAACCTTCAGCTGGTAATGCTGAGTAAAATATATAAATAAGTAAATAAATAATGAGCTGCTTCTCAGTTCCGACCTAGCAACGTCGAAAGCGGTATTCGACTGCGGCTGCGAAGTTAGCCAAACCTCAAGAGACACACGTGAAATCCACCGGGCACTGCCCAACTCTACCTAACCGCCCCAACTCCACAAGTTAACCCCGCGAGCTGAATCCAGTGACCACAGCCCATGTTCACCTCAGTTGTTGGTCGCATGGAAGAGCCCACATCCCGTTAGAGCTCGCTCGTTGGTCAGTGGTCACTGGTCGATGGGAGTCGGTATAACGGACACCGTGCGAATGGACCACCACGTGACCGATGGTGGCTGAACCGAGCGCTAGGACTTACTGGTACAGGGACCGCAATATGCAAGTTAGGAAGTGGTGTAAAATGAGTGAGATTCCGGACTCGTGAGGTTTGTAATGCATCTTGGCATCCACTTCAATGTTTGTGCGATTTGGCTTCTCTGCTGCTTACTTCAGCCTTCGATGCCAATATTGGCTGTCAAACGTGCCAAGCCAATGTTTCCGTTGTATGATTCTGATTTTAGTGGGCGGACGTAAACAGAAAAGAAAGAACTTCGTTCGTTTTGTCTCCTTTCCAGTCTGTTGCGCTTGTTGTGCTTTGTAGTTCCTGGCAATACTTTTTCGCCGCTGAGCTGAATCTCGGACTTCGTTTCGATTCTGCCATCCGGCTCATAATTTATGGACAAGAAATACCAGCCAAATGCCAGATTTTGTATCTGAAATGACTACCGACTCCGAGCACCAGTGACAGACAGCCTTTCTGTCCCTCCCCTGGCTGACACGCTCCAAAACCCCACTGTCTGTGAAAATCCCTGCGAAATTTATCGGGGGACAATATAATCAGGCGGCTTTCAGCGGCGCCCCGCCAAGCCGTCGCGCATATTGTTGTCGAAAGGGGAAAAGCGCCCGCTCGGAACCAGCGACTGTGACGCCATGATGACGTCACAGACCTGCGCGACGGACCCCGGCTATATTTTATATCACAACAGGGCGCACCATGCGTGACAATATGTTGTGATATTTTTATCACTCGGACCCCTTCATCATCTCTGGGTGCCCTGGCCCGGTTGGATGACCACGTGAGTTATGATAGGGACAATTGAATCTCTGAATGCGCGTTTGATGGGGTGACTCCCTGGACTTTGGGGGAGAATAAGCCCTTTGACGTTCTCAAATTCATTTCACGAGCAGCTTAAAAAGCGTCAGTGATTTATGACCGGAATATTTCATCCAATATACTCACGCCCCACAAGGGGTCTTGGTTCCTTTGTAAAACCAGGTACCGATATGCGTTCTAGTCATATGTGATTGTGCCATTTTGGTGATGCTGGCCACTAAGGCTTCTCCACTTATTCCAAACGGTCTGAAAGCACGCAAAAAGCGTGGAAAGCAAAAGATTCGCCGTGATAGAGGAATAGAAAAATCGCTCTGTGAAGCTCCATCTCATCACAATACCAGCCCCTCGCGTCTGTATCGCCACAGAACCTCTGGCGCTGCGCCACGTTTGCCTCCAGTGCGCCATCCAAGCTCATCCTCAGATAGGGGAGCTCGATGGCGGCTCGTCCATATCGGCCGCTGCGGGCCGCTCGGGATCTAAGCCCGTTCGGGGGCAGCTACCGATCGGCTCAAACAGGGGCCCACCGGAACCCGCCGTCCCTGCGGCCATCACCCGGGGCTTATCTTGTCGCGGCTATTCTGGCGCACCGGAGCGGCTGTCGACAACAATGGCGCGGCGAGCCGATTGCGGCGCGGTTCTCAGCTAATCGGCTGTTTGCGTGCCGTCCCGACCTTCCAGCAGAGGTGGTCGGGCAGGGGTGGGCTACTGCAGGGGTGCGTCCCCTGCCCCGCGGCGGTCAGCGGGCGCAGATACCTACGGTAACCAGGCAGAAACCGCAGAGAGCAGCGGTCACTTACCGCGGGAACAGCTCAGCTGGGCGGGCAGAGGGCGACCACAGGAGAGCTTACATTATGCATGCTTGGTCCCTTGGATTGCTTACATAAAAACACCGAAAAAGCTACAGATATGGAAAGCTAAAAAATTAACTGAAAGTAAACGTCTTGTTACCACTTATTCGGTTAGAAAAGTCCATGTTCAGTCTCATCACTTTGCTGGTCTTCTTATATCAAAATATATTTTTAACGAAACCTGTTCTGATCTACATACAAACAACTCATCTTTAAGAAGACAACCCCGGTTAAACAAATCTATAAAAGACAACATTTATTGTCACTTGTGCTTGCTTCTTTTCTTGATGTAGTCAGTTTTTTTTTTTAAATAAGACATTATAGCTATTCGGGTAGTTATCAGTTAGCAGCTTCCAGCGAATCAGATGACAATGCTTTACCGCAACCAATTCAGTTTTATCCACTCATCTCATATGCAATTGACTGATCTGAATCGTCCCACTATTATTAACTAATAGCTATTCCGATCAAAATCTGCCAATGTGATGATCATTGAGCACGTGAACCAAACCGTATCAAAGCTCTTGTAATCCTCTCGAAACCTCTTTGGGCCCTCGCTCGGCTTTCAGCGTACCAGCGGCACAAGTCGGTTTCAATTTCACGCGCCGTCAAAGCGCCTATGAATCAGAACGACAGCCCTTTGAAATTCAACGCCTCGAGTGGTTGGGTGCACCCTTTAGCGGCCCGGTGGCCAGGGGTCTGTGTGGAGGGGAGCACCGGAGCCCTCTCAGCCGTCCCGCTCGCCTGTCAATGGGATGCGGCCGCCGCGTCCGTCCTCTCTCAGCCCGCCGATATTTGGAGAATGCGTGCGACGCGTCCGGCGAGCAAACAGTCGGCGCGAGGCGGCGGGAGGTCCGGCTGATTAGCATTTCTGCGCTAACGACGCTCGATGGCAGCGTCAGTCTCCGTGCTCTGCCGGGAAGGGCTGCGGCGAATCGATCATCCGCGCCGCTCCAGCTGTCACCCAGGAGCGCCGCGTGGCCAAACTGTCCCCCGCCACCTCCCCAGCGGGAGGTGTTTTATATTTTAATCATTTCCGGACCCTCTCGTGACCGCGGCCCCACAAAAGACTCCCCCGGGCGGTCCTTTTTTAGCGGCACGTGATAACACGCCGGTGCCCGACCGCGACCAACCGGCTGTCACGCGTGTGTCGGACGATCTAATAAGGACGCCGTGTGACGGGTGACGGCCCGCCCCGCCCCCTTCCATCGGCGGCCCCTCTGTGGCGTGTCGAGCCGTACACTTCCACCGACGGCAGCACGCCGCTGCGTCACCCCACACCCCGGGGTGCGTCCGCGGTCACCGCGGGCCGGTCCATAGAACAGGCTTTCAAACATCCGCCAGAGCAGCCTTCAAAGCGGTGGCGGTGTCGCCGCGCGGCGCGCCGTGCGCCACTTTTGTCGCAGCTGTGAGGCGGCAATAGTGGCGCTGGGTGAGCGCCACCTGGCCCATCTTTTCACCGTTTGGGATGAACTGAACTGATATTAATGACGTCGCTAGCCGCGGAAAAAGACAGGCCTCGGGATGACAAATTATAACCGGGCGGAGCTACAGCTGGGCCCTGTAGACCGAGCACCAGGGAGCAGTGAGTGAATGGACGATTTATACAGAGATTTTACGCACTCAGCGATAAGTAATGGGATGCTATTGGTGGTAAATGTAACTTCCGGCTTACCTACTTAGGCGGTATCGATACAGAGGATTTCATGGTTTTCTAACTGAAGTGGTGCTGGATGCTTCTATTCACAAAGCTGTCAGGAACACCGGTAGATTCGACATTGTATAGGATCACAAAATACCGATCAGAGTCATACTTAGATCGGAGTTGTGGACTCAGCACGCGCCGCTCATAGCATATTTCACTTTAAAGGAAATAGTTCACTTTTTAACATGGGTTTTGAACTGGAATAGCAGTTCCGTAGCTTGGGCTGAGACGAGCATAAATCAGGAGCTTTTACAGCCCAACGATCACCCTAGGCAAAGATATTCTATTTCTCGTCCCGAAAAAGGTGTCTTGCGGTGAGGATGTGTGCCTTGCATATATTTCCATCCAGTATGAAAAGAGCATGGGTCCCGAAAATTCTTCAGAAATTAGAGAAATTATCTACGAGAACTCTAGAGAAATTCTCGTACTGATCAATTAGGACATTCAGGGGAACATTATCAGATCGAGCAGATCGCCCAAATGCCGGTGGCTGCGATAATTTCTCTGTTTCTGAAGAATTTTCGGGACCCATGCTCTTTTCATACTGGATCGCGTGTGCCTTACAGAAACTGAAAAGTTCTTCCTATATCAAAATATAGAAAAAAAATATTTTGTTATAAAAAGGTTTTATTTTCTTTGCTGATTATTTTGAACATAAAAAATCATAAATCGTTGCAAAAAAAAATAATTTCGTGAAAGTGAACTATTTCCTTTAAGATCAGCCCAACAGTAAATAAATGTGGTATCCGACCCTATTCAGAGTGTTTTTAATTACTGCTGATTAACTTTTGTATGATTTTGTTTCAGTGTCGGCGCAGCGTAACCCGGAGATATCTTACATCAGCCAGGATGTTGTGGCAGACATCGGAGGCACGGCCGAACTCAAATGCTCCGTTCAGGTACGTTATGGGCAAGTTATAGTCACCGATCGCATCACCGGAAACCGAAGCTGTGAGAACAGTGCTTATTTCTCATCTTAATGTAGTTTTGAATTTCGAAAACATTTTTCACGTTAGGGTAGGTTCTTACCGTACCTAATTACTAATGATAATTTGTCACTTCCTGTGTCATATGCAACTTCATATCTCAGGTGTCGTCTCATGTTTCACTTTTTTTTGCGAGGACCACCTTCATCTGTTTCATGCTCCAGTCTCCACCTTCTATATGCATTCCACCTTCTAGACATATACTGATAAGTGATAAGTATGTTTGGTTCCTTAGTTAGAAGATTTCGCCAAATGTATACGGTCCGAACAAAGAACACTTATTATTCTTATGGCAGGGTGTCCAGAAAAAAAGATACTACGGAAATTAAGTCGCATTTATTAACGCACGTGCCGATTTTTTTCCAACTTCATGTGCTTATAGTGCAAGATTTGGCAAAACTCATGAGCACTGTAATGCGTCGTTGGAAAGTTGTCTGCCTGCCCTCCGAGAGGGTCAACATGACCATCAGTCACCTGCCGACCGTGCTAGTGCTGGAGCTGATCCGCCGGAAGGCCGCTCACATTGAGTATCTGCTTTGAGGAGCTGGCGCGACTAACCAAAGGGTTTACATGCCATGTGGCACATGCTGTCTGTTTTGCCATATTTTTGCGAATACAAGCATGTGCCATTTTAAAATGTGCGGTGTTTATTTTCGGAATTACAGCAAAAAATAATAGTATCCGTTTTTTCTGGACACCCTGTATTACTTCCCAATTGATTTCAGTAATTGAATTTTTGTCTAGGCACCGGAAAGGTAGATATGTAGGCCCATTAACTCGCTGGGATGCATGAACTCTATTGTGCCGTTCCGTTTCAGTTCGCTGGTAGCTTCCCCGTGCTGTGGATCAAGAAAGGAAAAGAATACGGCGACGAGGACGAACAGAAGGACGTGCTCATCTCCACCAACTCGATTCTGCTGGCGCGCGAGAGTCGGTTCGCCCTGCGACATGACCCAGAGAGCACCACCTACACACTCCAGGTCAGTGCGAGTCCGAGTGCGTGTCCGAGTTCAGTTGACTGAGTTTGAGTCGGTCGGTCTGAATCAGGACCAGTGTTGAAATTATGAATAGAAATGCCTTTGCTTTGGTAGGTTCAAGACTTGCTGAATGTAACGTTTTGGGATGAGCAGACATGGATCATAATAATTAATTACTAAACGTTTCCACCATCTTGATGTTCTTTTTGTCTGGTAGACGATTTCAATCATTATAGTTAGTGCATCTATACTCTCGCCCAAACGAGCTTATGAATAGCTTTTACTATCTGCGTGACGCTTAGGTCTCAATTGAACCACGTCCCGTGACCTACCCTGACCTCTGGGTGGTACGGACCAGACCATTGACCTACCCTGACCTCTGGGTGGTACGGACCAGACTATTGACCTACCCTGACCTCTGGGTGGCATGGACCAGGTCATTGACCTACCCTGACCTTTGGGTGGTACGGACCAGACCATTGACCTACCCTGACCTCTGGGTGGCACGGATCAGGTCATTGGCCTACCCTGACCTCTGGGTGGTATGGACCAGTTCATTGACCTACCCTGACCTCTTGGTGACACGGACCAGGTCATTGACATACCCTGGCCTCTGGGTGGTACGGACCAGACCATTGACCTACCCTGACCTCTAGGTGACATGGACCAGACCATTGACCTACCCTGTCCTCTGGGTGGTACGGACCAGACCATTGACCTACCCTGACCTCTGGGTGGCACGGATCAGGTCATTGACCTACCCTTACCTCTGTCCGCAGATCAGTGACATCCAGGACACGGATCAGGCGACGTACGAGTGCCGCTGTCAGATCAACCTGCAGACGTCTGTCAGCGGGACTGCCGAGCTGACGGTCCGCCTGCCGCCCGTCATCTCCGACAACTCCACCAGGTGCGGGCAGCTCAGCGGAGAGTCTCAGCTCAGCGTGGAGCTCACTAGAGAGTCTGAGTTCAGCGGGGAGCTCACTGGAAACTCTGAGTTCAGCTCATTGAGCTCAGCTCAGCGGGGAGTTCGCTGGAGAGTCTGAGCTCAGTTCAGCTCGGCCCTGGAGCTTGAGCTCAGCTCGTGGGGAGCTCACTGGAGTCTGAGCTCAGTTCAGCGGGGAGCTAGCTCACTGGAGTCTGAGCTAAGTAGTTCAGTGGGTATTCGCCTGAGCAGTGACGACCTAGTCGGCTGCGGTATGACTTGCCTCTCGACTCGTCGCCTCTGTCAGCTGATCTCGTAGCTACGTCATAGCTGGAGGTCATGCTGACACCACTTCGTCTGTGCCTCAGGTCGGTGATCGCTGGTGAGAAACAGCGCGTGGAGCTGCACTGTCACGCTACTGGCTTTCCTCCGCCCGAGATCACCTGGCGCCGCGACAACAACGCCCTCTTGCCGACCGGCAGTGCTATCTATCGGTGAGTGGTCGAAACTGGTACAGCGGTGGTATGGCTGGTGGCGCTACCTAGTGATGGGATCTGAACTGTCAACGACTTCCGATGGTGAAGAAGTCCTGCTCGCCGAAATAAGAAATTGGGCAATACGAAAGAAACGATGGCCCTGCATTATTCATATATGCCATGTAACAGTTGATTGCCAGCATTAGGCTGATAAAACCAGACCATACATTATTGGAAGGGGTATGATCTTTTACCAGCATATCGATTATCGACGTTACAGATTAGTTTCACATTTGACCCCGGCTCCTGACCTGAGCCCTGCATCTGGCCCTATTTCTGACTGTCTCTGTGACAATCTCAGCGGCAACGTGCTGGTAATCCACAACATCAAGAAGGAGGACCGCGGCATGTACTACTGCGTGGCCACCAACGGCGTCTCCGAGGGCTCGCGGAGGAACGTCGCCGTGGAGGTCGAGTTTCCGCCTGTCATCAGCGTGCCCCGGCCCACCCTACGCCAGGTGAGAGGCTGTGTGGGTCACAAACTGTTCCAGTTCCTAGTATCCGGATTTGCGCCAGCAAAGTTTCTGGTATTTCGTAAATCGGTAAATAACTCCAAGTTCATGGCCTATTATCCGCCAGGTGAATTGCTTGGGTCAAAGTCGAATGCATGTCCGAATCAAGCAGCGATTCATCCAGGGGTTTACTTAGTTAATTAATAATCACCTCAAATGATGTTGAAGGTCAAACCTGCATCGTAGGTAATCAAAATACTTATCGAAAACCCGACTCTTTGACATGGCGTCCATGGCATGATCTGCCGCATTGACCGATATGCTAGCAATTGAACGATTATCGATTTATATGCACCCCTCCGCTGACGGTCCGCCTCCTCTCTCTAGGTTCCATCTATCCCCCAAACCTCTGTCCTCATATATCCCCAAAAAGCGAACAGCCCACACCAATTCCAATCGCGGGACGTTTATCATTTCCGGGAGTGATGATCGATTCCATTTATTTTCGTCGGGCCGGTCGCTGTCGGCTTTCATTTAGCGTCGAGCCCGCGTCGAGCCCGACGCTGTGGCTCCGGTGACCCAGGTCGGTGCCGGTCCAATGGCTCGAGGACGCGCTGCTCAATACCAGAGCGGTCCGACGGCGGCGACCGGGGCCTCTGTCGCTGGTGGCGACTGGTCGATTACAGAGAAATTCCGACCAGATGGATGGTTGATAATTGGATCGGTGTATGATTAGAATATGAGAGTGAAGTATTTTAATTTCCTGGCAGCTTATGTCTAACTATTGAAGACCTGTCCAAGCCGATAATGTTCTCTGCTAATTTAGACACGGAACAAATCAAATGTGTCGTGGGTGGTGGTCTGGCGGCAACACACGGTGTTCAAAATGAATGCAGATGTCATGCATAATTCATGAAACATATCCATATGCTCCCGTGACCTTCATTGAACTCCCGTGACCTCCTATGACCTCCGGTGACCTCCACTGTCCCGTGTCACAGGCGCTGCAGTACGACATGGACCTGGAGTGTCTGGTGGAGGCGTACCCCCCTCCCCGCATCACGTGGCTCAAGGAGGACATCGTCATTAACGACAACTCGCACTACAAGTAGGTGGTCGCACTACTACATGTGGGACGTGGGTGTTATACCGCACGGCTGGGTGTGATAGTGCAGCGGCTCCTATATGGATGTTTTTACTGCTGTCTGCTTAGTTGCTCACGTTAAAGAAAAGCTGGTTGTTTGACCCATACTATAAACAGTGACATATTCTTTTTGATTACATTTAAATTTTCCCGAGCTATAAAAGCTGAGCCTGATTTAAACGTACTGGGTTCTTTGAAGTACGTACTTTCGACATTGTGTAACATCAAATATTCTTTTTAAATACCATCATCACGTCGACTCGAAACCAAAATACTCCGCTAAGAAAGGACCTTTACGTTTCCGGCGTCGATTAAACCTGTGATTACACATTTGTTTGTTGTCTATCACACACTGCATCTCTCACCCTCTCTCTCTCTCCCTCTCTCTCTCTCTCTCTCTCTATCTCTCTCTCTCTCTCTCTCTCTCTCTCTCTCTCTCTCTCTCTCTCTCTCTCTCTCTCTCTCTCTCTCTCTGTCACTCTCTCCGCAGGATGACCACATTCACGACCACGGACCAGACGACCGACTCTAACCTGCGGGTCCTCTCCGTCGAGTACAAGCAGTACGGACAGTACACGTGCCGCGCATCCAACAGGCTGGGCATTGCCGAGGCGCAGATACAGCTGACTGGTGAGAGGGGAGATGGGGAAGAGAGGGAGGGAGGATAGATGGAGAGACGGATAGATGGAGAGATGGAGCTATAGAAGAGAGTTAGGTATAAGGAGACGAAAAAGCCAGGCGGCGAGAGTGTAAGAAAGCGAATTACTTAAAATGTAAGTAATTTGACCATCGGGTTTCAGAAGGATGATGCTTTTTATGACTGATTTCGGTCATTTTTAACCCGCGCCCTGGTGGGGGGGGGGGGCTATTTTTTGCCCCCCTCCAGACTTTTCGATATATCTCCAGAACCGCTGCGCCGATCGCCACCAAACTTTCAGTACCCTCTCGGACATCAATTTTACACATCGTGACCAAAAAATTTTCCAAAGGCTATGATAGGTTGGCTGGAAATGACGTCAGAGTGACGTCATGTTCTGCCGTTTTCGACCAAAAAAAGGGTTTCGCGGGAAGAGCTGTCAGGCCTATAGCTTTGCAAATACAGAAAAACGATTAAGACATAAAAGATGTAAAATTGACAGGGCTACAAAACTGCTATCTCGGATTTTTGAACTTTTTGGATTTTGACCCCCAAAAATCAAAAAATAGATTTTTTGAATATAATAGCCGAAAAATCCAAAAAGTTTTTGGAGTTTCGCAAAAACCGGAATATATATGATAGTCCTTATCGCCTTCTATCCACATACCAAATTTGAGATTGATACCTCATTTTTTGGCGAAGTTATAGCGAAAAAACTGTTCAAAATTGATGACGTCAAATTTTCAAACTCAATTTTTAGCAATTCTAGACACCGTAGCGCAAAACAAAGACCACTATTAGACTCCCCGTGACGAGCTGCATCGAATCAATACCCATTTTATGCAAAACTATCAACTTTAAAATTTGACCTTTCTTGACCTGACCTTGACCTGACCTTCACCAGAAAGTGACCTAAGCCGTACCTGATAGTCTTATAACCAACACCATTGAGTTGGAAATGAAAAATTGGCCATAAAACATGCATCGCACAACCTTAGTACCTAATGTTAGGTTCATGTGACCTGACCTCTGGGCTCTGACCCTTGGTGACCTGACCTGTGACCTGACCTGGTATTGTCAGTGACCTCTTATAGCAACATATGTACTAGGCAACTGACGCCCTATCGCTGATTCTCGACAAAATGCGTTTTCTTCGGTGTTATAGCGCATTCCCTAGATGACCCGTGAACGGTGAAACATGTCATCTTTGACCTGACCTGTGACGTCATCGGTGACCCCGAGGTCAATGAAATTTGGTTTCCCTCGACAAATTTGACAGGCCTTTCGAACGCCGTTTGAATTTTGAGGATCCGTCAAGTAGTTTCGGAGATACGAGGGGGGGCAAAAAATAGCCCCCCCCCCACCAGGTCGCGTTATAAACAGACCCCACCAGGGCGCGGGTTAAGGCTTTCCTGATCATGATTGGTATTTTATGATCAACGTAAAATGAAGGTCACAGAAATAAATTTCCATAATTTTGTAGGACACGATTGGCATCCGATCGGAAAACTGCACTGCATTGTCACTCTGTGGAGAGGTGATCTGTAGCTCGTAGCCAGGAGGATGTCACTTATGTAAATACTTTGTGTTCCATCATTGTGTTCAATTTCAGGAAATTCTAGCCGGTTTATCACGGCATATTCACTGGTGCGTGATTTCAAAGTGAAGCCACTCAGCAGCCTTAGCAGATCGATGTCTTTCATGTGGGACATAAATCATGATGTAATTTACTCTAGAGCTGCGAATATATCTAGCTTCAGTAGTAATACCCGTCGAAGCCTCTCGCTTCAAAGTCGAAGCGCTGTAGCAGTTACGAGGCTGATGCGGAAGTCTTTTGAGTTGACTAGCACGCTGGTACAGTTGGTGCATACTAAATATGTGTCATGGCCTGGGCTGTAAGGGCCAATTCGCATGTATTCGTCCGAGAACTCGTCCCGATCTGCATGCTGTTCAGTGTTTTGGCATAGATTCGTTATTTGGTGAAAATATATCTACCCACCAAAAACATGCCGAAATAACCGTCTGTATTAGGAAACTTGACAACACTTCTTGGCATAGTAGTTTAATTAAGTATATCGCTAGATCCGTTTTGAATAGCTGCTGCTTGCCTTGCGGCACAGTATATCCGCCGGGCATGCATTGCGGCACAGTCTAACCATTGTTTTGTGCGAGTCTCAGCATTGAATTTATGGTGCTTGAGACATCTCTCCGATATTTTCATCTCGTATTATTTCTAGTCCATTTTAGTGTTGAAAGAGGAGAGAGGCTTGCAGAAAAGAATCTCGTATGTTATATTCAAAGTACTTCACCCCGGTCACCCGCATTATTTCATTTTATTTACAATGAGCTCATTTACATCTACCTATCATTATTTCATATTCGCAGAGTCGTACGAGCCGGTGTGTCCGCCGGCCTGTAACGTGTACGGAGGTGCCGGTGCCGTCCTGCCCAGCGTCACAGCGCTCGCCACAGCACTGGTGGCCGTCGTGGCCGTCCGACGCTGGTAGGTGGCGTCATTTAGTGGCCGGTCGTTTGCTATTGTGTCCATAAGCCTAATTGATAAAGTGAAATATAGAGATGATGATGAATGTCAAAAGAATAAAGAGTCCGCTGAAGTATTTTAAGGACGATTAATGTCTGATGCCTTACGGCTATGTTTTGCTAGTTTATTTTCAGAAAATAATTTATGAAGTTGTAGTGTGGCCGATGTCACACATAGGAATCAATTTACACTGTTCTTCCTCTTGCGTAATTTAATCCAATATGCCTTGTCTTTGATTATCACGTCTAAAGTGATTTCAATTGATCACTGTAAAGTAGCCCGTATGGCATCATCTTATCGCTATTACCGGTTTCTAACCACTTATCTTTACATTACAGATTAGTCACTCCAAAGCGCCTCAAACTGGCGACGGAGGAGCAACGTATCCGGTTCAGGGTGAAATATCCGGCCGGCACCGTCAACTGGGCGTATCCGGCTCGTTCAAATTGCATCGCCCACGGCGAGGAATAATTGCACCGGCGACCTTTCCCCAGCGGCTCTGCCCACTGGCTGGATGGTTTACACGCCTACCTGTCTCTGCCTAAAACTCCCCCGATTCTTAACTCTGTCGCTCTTTTTCTCTGTCTTCCTGTTTGTTTCCCCCCTTTCCCCCCTCAATCTCCCTCTTTCCTTTTCTCTCGGTTGGGGAGCTGGCCCGCCCTGGAGCCACTCTCTGCTCGACAGAGAACCGGTGTGGAGTGTGGACTCCCTCCGCCCTCTCCCGCTAATGTCCCGGCTGTAGGAATGTCCCAGACGGCTCGTTCGACACGCCGACACCGTCGCGTTGTTGCGTCATTGTCGTCGTCGACGCTGTCGCTTGTCCCCTCCCGTTCCCTCTCCCTCGCTCTCTCCCTCTCTCCTCAGCGCATGGTCCGGCCGTGTGACGCCAAATGAGACTTAAAGAGTGCCGTCAGAGGCAGAGGAAGAGAGCACCAGAGGAAGAGGGAGGAGCTGTGCTCGACTGGTGATCGAAGAGGCGCCGCCTGCAGAAAACTGGGCTCCGAATGTGGCCGGCTGCGGACAATCTGTGGTCACTGGGACGAGTTATAACTGAATGGAGTTGGCGTGTCAGAGACGAGTGACCACTCGGTGAGCAGTGAGAGGAGCGATCACTCAGCGAGCAGTGGGAGTGATGTGTCATTTGTGAGTTGATGAACTTGTGCCGTGGCGCGGTAGAGATGATTGAAAGATTCAGTGAGCGAGGTCTGAGCTGTTTTCAGACTGGTGAAACTAGTGAACCACGTGTGGTGGCTGTATGACTGAAGGTGAACTGATGGCTGATTATTTATGGTCGAGTATGTCGCGCCGTCTACCGGGTGTTTGCTGGTTACTGAAATAAACCGAGTCGGCTATCACTTTACTAATAGCTCACTTGTTTTTCGTCACTGATGTGAAGTTACACTTCAGTAATGCTTAAGTAATACTTGCGAATGTTTGGTAAAGCTTGGTACCCATTTTAGATCTGAAATATTTCTGCAACCGGTGATTGACGAGATCTGATTAACGATCAATGTGTGTCTGTGTCTATTTGCCACCTCTAGTTTAAAACGATTTTGTGCAGCCATGTGCAGGGGTGTATTTGTGAGTAGGTCCGTAGTGGGTAGTCATTGTACTTTTATACAGCACTTTTTCATGTCACCGTGCAGTCATTTGTGTACAATATATGTGAAGGCCGAAGCTCATTGTTTTAGTATGTATTTACTTCTTTAATGCACTTCCACACCAAATAGGCAATAGCCAATGGTCATCCGTAAGCACTGGTCTTCAGCAAAACGGTGAAATCGCCTTTCATCAAATATGATCGATGACTTTGTCTAGTGACGTCTTCTTTTCGATCACTCTTCATTAAAAAATCGCCAGTCAAAGCCATCCGTTGAGATTGGCAAAACCGCACATTACTTTAGCGGTTGGCTGTACCATAATATCTCTTGTAGCCTTAGGTTTCAAATTCCATCTCACGGTAGGTAATTTCATGTTATCCTTCAACACTACACTGACACATCAATTTTTTGTTTTTTGTTTTGTTGGGTTAGGCCCTTTCGGTCGACAAGACCATTGCAGAGCCGGAAGGATGATAGGAATTAGGGGGAGACATTGGTCTGGGCAGGCACCCTAGAGAGTCGCCGGGGCTGAGCCCGTCCAAATGGACAGGCCGACCAGCCCCCCCAAGCACTCTCTGCACCCGGCTACGGGGTGCAGCTCCCTCGGGAGCAGCGGTGCCGCTCCAAGGGAGCAGCCCGCATGAGATAAAGTTGCCTGTCCAGCCCGGAGGGGGGTTGCGGTGTTGGGGAGAAGGATTTCAGTATCCTGAGGATAGAAGCACGGAACGGTGACACATCAAGAGGGATGTAAGAAGGCGGATACATTGTAGTAGGTCTCGAACGCAAAATCCACAGGAACTTCTGGTGACTTGTTTACAATTTAATCAGACACGGTCTTTAGAACCGCCATCAATAACCTCCATGGGATGGGTGTTGCTGTGCAGCGAACTAGCTGAGATAATGCGTCAGCTGTCCGTGCGTGATCGTGTGATTTATTAGCTCAATGATTTGTTTGGCCATGCGTTACTGAACTATGTAAGCATAGTTCGATATGTGACGTAGGACTTCGGACAGCTTGACATTAGGCCATATATAGGGCTTGACAAGCTGTTATCTACAGCGATGGTTTGTCACGCGATATGCTAAAAGGCTAATTCCTGCCTTTATAAGTCCTGACGCACACGACACACATTTTATTACATAATTGTTCCGTATTTGGATAGAGCTCATATAGTATAAATAAAGACTAAACAGTATGGACGATGACACATAAAGAAAAACACGAATTAAACCTGAATGCACCATGCAACGATCCGTCGGTATCCCATGGGTGACACAAAACAGCTTTTACATTACATCATTCTTAAACAAGCTGGTGCTTTACCGACAATGTCACGTGTTCTACCAGTAATCCTATCATCCGCCTGTGAACTAATTCCATAACGATGATCCCGCAACGTCAGAGGATAGAAACGCCGCTGAGCTACTGTGGAGAGTCGCTCTCGCCTTGCAATGATCTGTGGCGAGGCACGTGGGCTTGGAGGGGAACACCTATTGACCTTCTCCACGAGGATGAATCATGTAATGACGTGTCGACATTGCAGAGAGGTCAGCGAGCTCGCCTCAACCGTACACTATTCACTTATTCAGGTCGTTGGGAGGCGCAGTGGTGAAACCGATATGGCGCCTCCATTTGCCCTCCACATCTGCATCTTTGCGAATGGCTGCTGTGCTGTACTGTGTACGCAAATGGTGAATTCAAACGGTATGGTGTGATAAATATACAGCATTATTTTTGATGCCCCCCCAAGGTAACTTCACGACATTGGGTGATATCTTAGCCTGTTTGAGCGAATACAGAGTCGACGCATTAAGTAGGATATCCTCGGCGCCATTGCGTTTTTGTGTCGCATGGTGGTCCTTTCTTTTTATTCTTTGAACACAAAACACCTGTCTTTCATTTGTTATCCGAGACTAAAAGATGCGCGGGCTTACCGTGGAGTCCATGAATGCCTTAAACGCAATTCAGGCGGATGATATGCTCCTAACATCACAAAGCAGACCGGTCAACTAATAGGAATTTGAGGATTGCGCCAACCGGTATTCTGACATGCATGCCGCGAAGTATACAGCACCTTGTGTTACTGTCTGTCGCATTGTGCGATATGCAACACATAACACGATAATCCTTCGTGTCTCTACCGGTTTTTCATGCCTCACACAGCGGTTTGGTCACGACTCTGCACTGAAAAAACAAAATGAGAATGGTTACGGATTGGGTTTCATGTGAAACCACGAGGTGGTCTATATAGTGAAATGGTGCTTGCTTGACCTCATTTATTAGGGCTGTCCGAGTCTCCTGTTTGACAAGCCTGATAGTTGGTCTCGTTTTGAACAGCGTTTGAAGCATCATGGGTGCGACTCTTTTTAGGACTAACCGTGAGAATGTTTGCCGGTCTCATCTCATATCCTGCGTCGGTGTGAGGCAGCGTGGGTTTCAGATAAGTGCAGTCTCTGGACTTGTTTACATACAGCGCATTGTCAGGCGCCATTTGCAAATTGTGTGCGTTGGTGTGCGCTGCGCTTGGAGTTATATTGTTATAAGTAGAGACATTCTTTAGCCATATATAAAATATTGTGCATGATAACAGAGGAAACAACACACTTGCTCATCAGTCATGGTCAAAAATCTTTTCATCTTTCGCTACAGTAAGATTTCGTTGAAATCAAGATTGGAAGGGCAGATGTCATAGTGACTTCGGCTTCTGAAGAAGGTAACGATCTTCCCGACCTCTACATATTGAAGAACCAAGAGACAGTGGCGGCCGAGGAATTTCGCTCTCTAGGAGAAGACGTTTCGCACAACCGCGCGTTCACCACGGTGTAGCGGCGGCCGGGGTGAGTGACGAGTGTTCTTTGGTTGGGGACTGCAGCGCGGCACGACGCGACTGCTTTCGCCACGCCCATTGCAACTGCATGAACTAGCTTTGTGTTTGAGAGGGCTTGGGCCTTTTGTGACCGGGTCGGCAGCGCGTGGCACGACGGGACTGCCAATTGTCTCCGCATATATGCTACTGCACTGAAATTTGTGTTTGAGAGGGCCTGGGCCTGTGTCGACCGGGCCGGCAGCGCGCGGCACGACGCGACTAATACGAGACTAATACATTTTGAGAAGAAAACATGGTTGTATTTTGGGCGGCAATATGGCCGCGCGGCAGGGCGGGGCTGCGCGGCTACATTCGAGAGTCCAGAAAGAAGGCTCGTAACGAGAATGGCTTGAGTTCTTCTATGAGACCATTTTCTGGTCTAATCCAATGGTGGCTGATGTTGAGACAGTCCAGCGGTATTATCGTAAACCAGAACGTGGTTTCATCCAGCTCAGAGTTTCAAAAGAGAACACACTTTGAGCATTTTGGAGACCAGTTTTGTTTCTCCGTGAGACCACTGAATGGTTTCGCGAGACCGGTTTCTAAGCTCTCTAAAAGGGTTTCAGAAAGACCGCGCAGAATGGCTCAAAAAGTGTGGTCTGATTTGAATAGGGGAAAAAAGACCGCTTTCTGGTCTCTGAGACCAAAATTTGGCTGACTTTTTTTTCAGTGTGTCGCTGATTTTCTCACTATTTTTTCCTTTCCTGAATGATGACTGAACCGCTCCAAACCGCGTGCCGTATACGGTATATGAGCGTATACTTGCTGAGCCAGATTGGCTTTATACCGGATTTCCGCCTCGTACTGCGAATAGCTACTGATACATGTGACATAGCGATGACGACGACTTGACACTCGGAACTGAGATAAAGAAAGACCGATCGTGAGTCAGTGGGATATTGGCGTTGCGTACTCATGCAATACTAGTACCTAATGTGATCATGCAAGTCTATCTTAACCGTCAAGTGGGGTTATAGGCACAGGATAATGATAAAACCAGTTGGAATAAGAATGGTAAAAGATAGGTCTATGCGACTGAATCATGCGAGCGATCTTAACCGTCAATTGCAGCTTGAATGAATAATTTGTTTTAATTTGTCTACAGAACGCCTACCAACATCGCATCCCTATATGCGCCGGGAAATGTCTGAATGTAATTGCGATGTGTTGCATACATAGTTTTGAGACATCGATTCCCGGGTGAAAGTGTTGATGTCTCGTGTGACTGATTTGACTCAAACATTCAATTATATCTACAGAAGCAAATCTGTCATGATCCCTGTTTGCGACACCGACTCAAATTATGGCAATAACTGCAATTTGATAACGACAATGACCCTTGACCATATAGCTTAGCATGAATTTCCCTTCGAATTGCTCGCCCATCAAATGATGTCGTCATTGGCTATGTCGCGTGCACGGTGTCGGTTTGCACTGTGCAATATCCCACTCAGATACGGTCGTCTGCAGTTGTCTGCATACCTTCGTGCACTGAGCCCGCTAGCCCTGCACATTGCCGCCAATTGTGGGAGTCACTGTCTGCAGGCTCACTGGCTGTCTCCCACATATGTTCAGTAGTTATCTCCCATCCAGTTAAGTCGGTCAGGAGAAGGGCTGTGTAGACAACAATAGTGATGCACAACTGACTGTGGGTGAATATTAGATTGATATGCAGTGCAAATTGCATTCTGGTAGCCATCTTGTGTTTAGTTTAGCCAACGGACAGCCGGTTTCAAGTTCGTTTGATATCAATGGGCGCTTCCACAAAATAAATAAATGAATTAAAAAGCAAATTAAAACAAACAAACACAAGTGAAGCTGGCGTAAAGGCAATATCATTCGTTTATCTCACAAACGATGTGTAAAACTGGGCGGTTCCCTGCATCTTCCTTTCATGAGTTCAATTTCAATTCTCACCGACTACGAGGGAAACATATGCTTTATCTGGGGGCTGGGGCCAGCTTTCAGACAAAAATGTTGATAGCTGACAGCTGAACACCATTAACACACAAACATTTAATGGCCGGGACAGCATTCGCCATATATCACCAGCCAGGTGTGGCCAGAATCGCAGACATCGCGCTGCAGCTGACTCATCACTCCCACGGTCCCGATCACACGGCCACCGCACCACAGGAATGAGCTGATGGAGAGTGGAGACAAGTAGTGTGAAGTGAAATATGGATGTGAGAGCGGACATTGCAATTGG